GTTGATTGTCCATTGTTCTTTTAGATCGCTGCGCCACGATAATTACATTATTGATTTATTTTTTTTTAAAAAAAAAAATAAATAAAAAAAAAAGTTTAATTATAAAATTTTAGACAAAGGCACAGAGACTGTATAACATCGTTGTCGTAGCCTAATTGTATAAGTAACTGTATTTTCATTTTAAAGTTTTATAAAATGCATGCAGAAACGAAGCATTTTGGTGATCCAAATCAGTTGCTAATATATGGTTTTTTTTTCTTTACCGACTCTTCATTTTTTATTATATATATCATAAGGTAGGTGAAATTTATTAAATTTAATGATCATAATAAAAAATTGTTTTTTTTAATACATCCTTAATGCAATGTGATATACATTACATACTTTTTAATATAGGTAATACATATATATACACAATAAATACAAGACAGAGTTAAATAAATAAAATGATCTCAATGACTTAATAAATAAATAAATAAATAAGAATTGATCCTTTTCATTTAAGGAATCTATTAAAATCGAACTCCTCTTCCAACGTGCATACCAACGCGAACCTAAAATTTTTAAAATACGAGATAAATGTTAAATTGATCGTAAAAAAAAAAAAACTTGAAATCGTTTAATATAATTCATTGATACTCACCAGAGTTTCCAAGCAAGTTTTTGAATTTGCCAATAAATCTTCATCCCAGTACATCTTTCCTTTTTCAAATAAAAGGATAACAGTACTTCCTCCTGAAATATTATAATGATAAAAATTAAATATTTTTTAATTTATTTGAAATTTAATAAAATATTTAGAAATCCTCTTACCAAAAGCAAAATAACCATGTTCGTCGGTTCTTTTCACATAAGAACCTGGCGTGCTGAAGTATTATAAATTACAAAACACTCAATTAGAAAATTACAAAAGTAAATGTACTAAAAAGGAAATAAATAAAATAAATCAATACCTTGTGAATACAATAGAACCGACCATCATAGCACCAATTGCGATAAATGCCACTTTACCGAATTGAGGAGAATTGATATAGCATACAGCTCTCTTATTTTCGCCATACACATCGAGTCTATATAATCATTAACCAATGCAATGATGAGTACATACATAATTAAAAAAAAAAAATTACAAGTGAAGTTTTAAAATATTTACGTTGAACGAATAGCCATCGGGTTGACAGTATAAAAAGCGCCGGGAATATGTTTTACCGGTTCCAATTCTCCTTCTACTGGGAAGTGGAATCTATTAATAAAATTAAGTAAGTAAATTAACACTAATTTCCATTAAGTACTAAGAAAATTTTAAACGTAAAGCAGAATGTACCGATGATAATCTTGTGGCGCCAATCTAAAAATTCCTAAGCTGCCACCCTCATATCTTTGAGCGATCGATTCATCGTCAATTAACTTTGCAACTGAGAAGTTTTGACCCTTAATCCATAATTCTGTTGAACTATTTATAGTAGGGAAAGCCATCATACGACAATCTGCTGGGCTCACTAAAACGTGAGGATCCGTTGGTGAATCACATGGTCTTGCACTAGGTTTCAACTTGCGGTAAAAGAATTCATTAAAGTTCTTAAATGAATCTAACGGATCCGCAATCTCATCTACTTTAAGACGATGGAATCTAATAAATGCATTAATATCTCCTGCAGAGGAAGGATGATTAAACTTTTTCCCCTGTTTAACGGACAAGGATTCCAAGAGATTTTTTGCTTCATGTATAAATAAGTAATAGATTTAATTAAATTGAATCGAATAATTCAAAGAAAAAAAAAAAATTTTTTTAAAAAAAAATCTGACTTACTCGTTGTAGAATCGACGTTGCCAACACCTTTGTACAATAAACGAATTCCCAAACGGACATAGGTAGCCATTTTCTCTTCAGTTAACTGCCCTGTCAAGCGATCTTGAACGATAATATTGGCATTATTCTAATATTATTAAATTATAAATAGGAAGTTAAGTGAGAATTAAATAATAAATTGATAAGTTTGATAAAAAAGGACACTTACCCCGCCAATCTTATAGCCACCAAATCCAACTTTAGAGATCACTTTAGATACCCACTTTCTCTGTGCTTGAGATTCAGTGACAAAATCCCCGGTAACAAATTTATCAACGTTACCCCAATCAGAACTTGCACACATCGCAATATGAGTGATTATATTGGTTTCGGATAACTGATCAAGATTTGGTCTGTTGCAAATTGGACAATTTTGAAGGTAAATCAAATGCTCATTATCTGCTTCCTCACCGTCAACATCTGCAGAATGATGCGAAATTGAAGCATCTCCTAAATATTGTTCCAAGCAAGTAACAACTTCATCGAATTTTAATGCATCTTTTGTAGGATTTCTTCCGAATCGAGTGAAAAAATTGCTAATTGTTTCTTGTGTCAAAGTTGATCCCAAAGAGCTTAACATAGTTTCAAGTTCCACATAATTCAACAGATTATTTCCGTCCGAATCATAATTCTTAGCCAGAGCAAACCAAAATTGTCTTCGAAGCTGTTCATAGGGTATAAATTTGGTTTTGATAACGAGCTTGGAATTATGTTTCTTTGCTAACTTTTCTTTACTATGAATTTCAAGAGGAAGGACTTCTTCTACCAATCCATCTTCCATGTCCTTTAGAAGATCTTGAGACTTTGATATGTTCTTTAAACCACGATCAATTAAAGGTTTAATATCATAAAGTTTAGACGCAACGTGATCGTTTTGACTAAATTTGTCCCAATCGTAAACGGAGAATTTAATCTGAAATCCGCATTCCTGCCTTTTAACAGGAAAATGAAGCTTTTCATTCCATTCAGGGTTCAAGTTATGATCAATGATTTTGGTTCGGAAAGTATTCTTTGCAAAAGAAACAACAACGAACGGATCCATATCGAATCCTAATCCAGTCACTAATAAAATGAATATTTATAAAATAAATTAACAGATATTTTAAAATAGATGACCCCGTTAAAATCGAAGCACTTACTGTTCTTTTCTGCTGGTAAATCGAGAGCACAAACAATCTCGAGGAAAACTACCCCAACTATTTCCGATAGTGTGAATAAGCTATCGGTTCTTGCATGAGTTGGTTTTACTGTAGGTGGTGATGCTTCAATTACAACTGGAGCAGGTACTTCTTCAATACTTAAATTGTTTATCTTTCGCCAGAATGAATTCCACTCTCGTGCATCTATGAATTTATTATCTTTATCAATAAGGCCGATTTTAACCAAAACTTGACCAGAGACATCTTCACTTTTGCGGGTTGTAGTTAATGGATACCATTGTGGCTTGAATCAAAAATAGAACAAATAATAAAAAATTTAGTGTAACGAATAAAAATTTTTTAACAGAAATTACGAATAAATGGGAATTACCAAATTAAGCATATCATTATATGAGATACAACCATTATTATTTCCCCATAAATTTTCCAACGAGATGAAGATTTCACCCATATAATCTCTGCCAAACACATCTTTATCCCAGCATGTCATGTGAATTTGCTTAGGTGGGTTTTCCGGATCAATTTTATGATCAAAGACTGCATCCCACCTTGGGTTCAAACTTTTATTAATGACTTGGGTTTGGTCAGTAGCATCGTCAATGTTCATCGTGATGAACTATGATAACATAATTAAATTAATTTAATGTAAAACCATCACTAATATTAAGAAGAGATTATCAACTTACAGGGTCAGAAAACCCATTTCTGTCTTTTGCAGCCAAGTCTTTTGCTTCGATAATATTAACACGCAAAACAACGTTAAATTCACTCATGATGGAAAAAAAAATGTTGAGATCTTGATGAGGAATTTAGATGACTTTATATAATCGGACGGAAACAACTAAAAATGAAATAATTTATGAACATCATCTTACGTAAAATTTTTATCACAATTATACTTAATTTAGGTTATAATCGGTATACGGTTACACGAAAATAGCATGTTTACCCTGTTTTTAATCATCTTAATAGGAATCCGCATTTGGAGTTTTATTGAAAAGCTAGAAATATATTATTCAATGAAATATAAAATTCCAATCATATAAAGAATAATTAATGACACATCGGAGACATCGGAGTTGTCAGTATGTTGGTTATGTTGGTGCGCCGTGACAAAATCATTAATTTTGATATCCAATCGAATTAAATCTAAACTTAAAATTGAGGCGCATGCTTACACTTTATATAAATAGAATTTTTTTGCTTATTCGATATAAATGTATTTGCCTGTCGAACCAATTTAATCAACTCATAATAATCGTGTTTAATCAGAATATTCAGTATCAAAATCAAAATCTTTACTATTAATTAATTCTATAACAAAATCAAAACTTTTAATAAATTATTCACAAGATTTAATTAACAAAAATTACTTTTATTATAATTACCATAATAACTAATTTTTAATAGATTTGTTAGTTTCCAGACTATCAAAGTGTATACTTTTATTATTTTCTTATTCGAATTAAAACTTAAAATCTTGTCTGGATTTTCATAACTAAAAACTTCCGTAATTGCCGGGGTATAGGTTTTATTCATGCGTCGAGCCAGTGATTAAACGTGTCTCTAACAGGTTAAGTATCGTTTATCTGGATCCGTATTCCAGCATCTTTTCATTAATTCTGAATAACATGCTGGAGTCCCTTCAGGGATTTCCGGGTGAATGCCTTTACGGATATCTGAAGCTAAATATAATCGTGTTCCCGGTTATAACTTCCAACATGAGCATTCCAATTGCTGCGGGCTTATACTCTTTGTCTTTTAAAACTTCCATTGTTACCTTGAGGATGATTCAACTAATCAATGGTCGATTTTCATTGGTCATTAATATATATTTCCGCTATGAAATTCTATATGAACTAATGTAACGATAAATAATCCGTCTATTATTGTATATCAATTGACAATTTATCTAGAAAAATTATTTTAATTTCCAATTGAACATAACTATAAATTTACGCAAGTTTTTACCTCGTTCAAATATTCCGAATCTAATTATCAAGGCTTTTTAATGCTACGATTATTCCATCACTATCCATCAATACGGAATGAGCCGCAAATCCAAATTTATCGTATAAGTTTTCTCCTTTTTCTGCCATTGTGCCAAGAATCTTCTCGACAACGTCCACTTCTCTTTCCCAATTTCTTTCATTAGCATTCCAACCATACTTTGCTAAATATCAGTTAATCAGAATATGTTATCCATTCCAAAACTTTATTGTAATCATTAGCTTTTAATTGAATGTTTCGGATGAATTTATCAACGCGCGAATTATTACTAGTCCAATTTGGAAAAATTTTGTTCAAAATATTTGGAATTGCAGGTTGAAACCATGCGCCATTTGTGTTTAGTTGCCCACATTATTGACATGTATTTTTTGGATCTGGCATTAATTATTATAAATGCAAAAAAGAAAAAAAGTTTGAATATTATTTATTTATTTTTTTTTCAATTGTAATTTAAGTTACAATTACTGTTACGTATAGTAGATCGTTGTAATCTTTTCCGGTGATATTATAAGTCTATTAAATTTATTATAGCTTGTTACGTTACCTTTAAATTTGATACAAATTAAAATTAATTTTATATTACCATTATAAAAGACAAAATCAAAATGCCAAGCCTTCTAGTAATAGCATAATCCAATTTATTGGTTGGATTCATGTTCAATTTGGTATGTTCAAAGTAACTTGACAAAATCCATATATATAATTATTAAAATAAGTTTGATTTCACGTGTCGCCAATTTCTTTCCTTAAAGAGAAGTGATAGAGTAAGAAATGGAATATAATAACTCATATGAAAGATACTAACCTCTGGTGATAAATTGAAACACTCAACAATGAAAACTTTATCACACGGCGAAATCCATATAATAATTCTCTTGAAGACTTTGCACATATATCCCTTTTGGCAAAATAATTTTTTATATATATGCGTCAAAGGCAAAAAAAAAAAAAAACTGTACAGAATTTCTATAATATATATTTAGTCAGAACTTGTAGTATTATTTTATTAATATGTATAATCCCATATGAAAATCAAAGATTCACGTTTCAATAAAAGTAAAATTAACCTTCTAGTACTTTTCAATAATAATAAAAAAATTTTTTTTCTCGTGATTTTCAATAAAATGAGATATTCTTAAGATTATTATATATTCATTTAAAAATTTTTACATTATTTAAATGTTAATAAAGTACAAGTAATCAAGGAAAAATGCTTCGTGTTTCAAAGCAAGACCGTCATTTGAAAAAAAAAAAAAAAAAAAGCTCGTGAGATACGAGTGCAAAAAGAAAAATGAAAAAGAAAAAACATTGATGAGATTGTAAATGAAATGGATGAGAAAAAAGTACGTTCACAAAAAATAATTCAATAAAGAAAGTACATGATAACTTTTTTGGAGAGGATCAGGCTTTAAACAAATGCTTGAATAAATTATTTTATATTTTAGAAATTTCTCAATAAAACCAAGATTTACCCGAACATGATTAATAGGTTACCCAAATTAACATTTTCGGTTCACATATCATTAAAATTTTTAAAATTGACCCGGGGACTCGGGGTTTATTGTTTATTAAAGCATAGCTGATTGGTTGATTTTTAAAATGATCGTCACATATTAAATTCATATAAAAAAGATGATCATCAATCTTTAAATGGATTCGCAGCCACGGGGATAAATTCGCAAGGGTTGCGATAAAAAATTTCTAAAGTATACCTTCTGTTTTATAAACTGTCAAAGTAATTTGGTAAAAAGCAAGGTAATTCAGAACTTAGCTAATAAGGGTTTCTTTGCAATATGTTATTTTATATGTGATATATATATAGAGAGAGAGAAAGAGATTGAAATTTAAATTATATATTGGTATATATTTTAAGATTTATTTTATTTATTTACACAAATAAAAGAGAAGGTTGGATTATTTATAATAAATAATAGATAATGTACAACTATTCTTTCATGTTTTAACTTTATTGATTTAAATTTTTTAAACCAAATAACTAATAATGAACTGTAATTTAGATAAATAATTAGAACGAATAGTCACATAAATGGTTATTGGCCAATCATATTAGTGTATAATTAGCCAATCACAGAAAAAGCTCGCTATGCTGTTTATTGATAAAAAAATAAAGAAAGAAAAGAAATATAAAAATCAAAGAAACCAAGAAATGATGAGAACTAATTTGATTATAAGTCAATAAGTGTTAAATAACATAATATTTGTATCATTACTTTAGATCTGAAAATTATAATTTTCGCTCATAAATTGCCTTTAATAATAATATGCTAGTTTCTCTTAGGATTTTAGCAAGTTTTTTAAAGTTCTTTTCAGTACAGTTCACTATTTATACATACTTCCCTTTTTTCTTGCAATATTATCATTTTCGTAATTTTAACTTCATAACTTCATTTCAATTGATTTAATATTTTTCATTTAATTTATTTTTCTGATTATTATTTTTATTTAATAATATTTACATAATATTTATTCTTTTTGTTTATTAATAAATAAATACATAAACAGAAGAATTAAATACATCAGTATTATATTCTGAAGTCATGTGACAATTTTTTATATTCTTTTGGTTGAAATTTAAAAGGTGACCCAGTTAAAGTGACGTGAATCGAAAAGGTATTATTAAAATCATGTATAAAATGTATAAGGTATTACAATATGGTTAGAAATGTATATACAGTCAACTCTTGATATAGTGAACTCTTGATATAATGAATTTTTTGAATAAATATAATAAAAATACTCTTGTTAT